TTCCTCTAAAATTGAAAATTTACGCTTGAATCCTCATTTACCCCCTTCACTTTTGATTTTGCAATTCAACATAAGTTTCTAATTTTTGCAAATCTGTGTATAAACTAAGCTGACATAAGCTAGCTACTTCCTTGCTAGAACGTAATCAATCCCAACAATATTGTCCTTGAACCAGCCCTTCTCTCCCTCACCCCTCCCCCCCCACCCCAACATTCAAGAGGTATTTCAAGAGCTATTCGAGACGACGGTCGAATGGGAGTATCCAGTTACATTGTCCAGTTGCAGTAATGGAGGACCTCAGTGAGATCCTCATTTCCTGACTTCATAGGCCGCTGTTTATAGAGCCTATAAACAGCCTAATTACAATCCATATTTTCTGGATGGGATGGGCGTGGCCACGCGCTACATCTGAGCATAGCGGTGGCTGCGCTTTTGTTGGGAATCTACCGTAACCGTGATTGTGTCAAACGCCAGGACAGAACGTGAAGGTTCTCAAATGGAAAGGTCCTCCGTGAAACACATCGTACGTTGTGCAATGAAGCAGGCAGCCACGCCCACGCTATCTCCGGGATACGGGGTGTGAGAAGATAACGAAAACCTAAGGGTACCAGCGACTGGCGTGCGAGAGTGACGAGGCACGCAATTGTAGGATTCTAAAAATAATGATCTGAGAAGCTGAAGGTTTCAACCCCTCTGGTGACTCCTGCCACGTTACTCTTTTCAAAATTAATTTCATCACTACTGAATCGATATTTGAAAACAAAAGACTGGGTGCTGTGAATACCTGCTCTTCACTGGTGATCTTCAAATCGCTTCTTCGTATCAAATCTCGCAGATGAGGAAATGCGATCTGCTTGAATTCGTCGAGCTCCCGCAACTCCTGAACACGATTACATTGAAGAGGAAACAAATATTAGCCATGAGCAGAGGAGTGTACAGTGGATGTCCAAAACCCCCATAAAGCGGAAATCGGAAATCGAAAATGTAGAAACTGTCACGCGCTTGGCCCATTTCACACGCTAGGCCCACGATTACGTCTGGTCCTGTTTTTATAAGAAACGCGTGATTTTATTTCTCAGACAAGGTGTAAGTTTTGAGTCAATTTGCTCCTTTTCGAGAGCGTATAAGGCACTGATAATCGTAGAAGCGTTGGGCTGCGGGTAAAGTTTCGGTTAATTTGCAAACGGTGACTTCAGCCAAAACAGCACATTTTGTAGATTTATCGGAGAAAAAATCCGCGCCAACTGGATGGGCGGAGATTCATAGCCCATTGTGCGTTCTTCACTAGCGCATCCTTTCCTCTTTACCCAGCTACTGAAAGGGACGCACCGAGGTAGCGAAGAGAATAGTTGAGTGGTCCCACCACCCGGTTGTTGTGGGGTATATCTCTAGAATACCCTCTTGGTTGAGCGATACAAGGTGAATTCAAGTCCCATATAAGTTTTTCATTGGCACCCCCATACCCTTTACCATCAGAGGGTTTTAGAGTTGATAAGGTCGCAATGAGCCGGCGCGGTTAGTGGAATGAGCCCACTTCTGGCAGCTTTCGCTGCTAATAGTGAACGGTTAGTGATCGATCCAGGAAGAAAGTTGGAGCACCAACAGGAAAGACAGAGTGGCCACGGGTCTCCGCCCATTCGCTTATCGAGGAGCGCTCAATCGACTGCTAAGCGAAAATTGCAAAAAGTCATCCAAGGAAAAGAGCTCACAATGAAATGGTCCACCGCATAATCATCAGAACTGTTCAATAAATCGACACAATTGTGCTGCTCGGCAAATTGCCGAATGAGAAGGCAATTTTTCGTCGTGAGCAATTGGGTCATAAATCGTTGACATGCAAAACAGACGGAATCCATCTGAAAAAAAACCAATTTCACAGCTATTCCCTCCCGCATCGGGATTCCCACCGTTACTCACCTGTAATATGGACGCTGCAAACAGCAAACTTTGTACGTTATCGCTATTTATGGAAATTTCACTCGTGTAGACAAAGTTCACCAATGCATCCAGGGCTTCAAATGAGATATCCTGAAACAAAAGCACTCACTGAGTCTCTCTTGTTGAGTCTTCAGAAGGCAGTGGACAGGATGGCTGGGGGCGGGCGGTTACCGCCAAAGGAACTGGTGGAAGGGCTGAGTGGGGCATGGGTAAGAGCCCTCTCACAGCTTCTCCACCAATGCAGACCGCCCGTTCACAGCCATCGTGCCCACTACCTTCAGAGACAAGAAATTCAAGGCGTCAGCACCGAGAAATTTGAGGCCACGACTGAAACACCGTCATTATTATCTAGCGCCAGCCGGCCGTAACCATAAAGGCGTTGTTCGGCTTGGGAGGGACATTTAGTATTTCCGCTAGTTCTTTTTGCTAGCTTAAATTACTAAGAGGTCTCATTCGGTGAAACCTGCTTAGTCGTTGAAGCTGGTGAATAATACATGTGAGCTACTTCAGTACAATAATTTACAGGTCCTGGCAAGGTGGCTTGTATGAGCTTCGCTGAGCACCGTTTGATGCGCCCCCAACGCCCCCAATAACGTTAATAAAAGCGAAGCCAAGAAATAGGATTGATAGCGTTAGAACCCCCTCAAGCAAGCGAAGAAGATTCATCAAAATCCATGCTTAGAATTCTTTGAAGGCAAAGAAACGAAAAAATGACGTCACAGTAGTCCCCTCAGAGCCAGCACCACCACCGACAGTAGACGGCAGCAGCTGTCTGCTGCATAATTAGGCTATTCAGCGCCGAGAAAGGAAATAAGCAGAAGGAGCCATACACATCTATCTAGGTAATGTTTCCGCAGATTATGTCGGTTCAGGCAAAAAAAATGAAAGACTGACATTCAGAAGGATTCGATCCATCTTCGCTTCGACAACATCGTAACCGAACATTGCACGAAAGTAAGGTATCGCTGCGGCGAGCACAAAGCGATGAGCTGCCAACGGACTGGCCATCGACCTATAAAGAAAAGATAAATTTACCTAATGTCACACCGAGTCCTGCTCGCTGGGGCATGTTGGAGAAGGGGTGGGGGGTCGGTGTGGCGCCAGCTCGTTCTCCAGCAGTTGCTGAACCTGGCCGGAGACCGCAGTTGGCTATAAGCTGTCTGTTACCGCGCCAAACACATCCCCCTCCCCCCCCCCCTGACAGGCTCCAGTGTTCGCAGCGACAAGACGGTATAATGACAGCACAAAGTGTATAATGATAGTGGCCAAATATGAAAATGTCGAGATGAGCAAAGTCAGTGGAGAGCTGACCGAAGAAGTCTGGGCACGCTCTGAATGAAACCCTCTTTCCTGCACTGGTCTCAAGCAAGATGCAAGTGCTGCGAAGGAACACTTAGCGCTTGGAGTAGAGACCAGACGACACATTGCGAGAGAGTACGCAGATGAGCAAGAGCGCTAGCCTGTGCGCAGCACTTGCAGTGAGCATCTTGGACCCTCTGGGAGTGGCCACTTTTTAGGTTACGAGCCCCTGGCGTGATCTTAGAATGGGCTCTTAAGTAATTAGGAAAAGAAGGATGTGGGAGGGGATGTCGTCACATACACTGCGGCGGTAAAATTCCGGAAAGCTTCAACACTTCTACCCACTCCCCCCCTCCTTTCACTACAGTATACGAAGTTCAGAAAGGGCAGCCTTCACGAACTTCTATAGTAGAGGTGGAAATTAGAACGGTTTCATTCTTCATAAGGAAGCGCCACGCACTTGTCACCTGTAGAAAGAACCGCTATCTGTATAACGGACCTATGTAATCACTTCAGGTCAGTTCGAATGTGCTCATTATCTCCTCGCACAGGTCTAGCACCCACCAGGATGCCAGGACACAGCCAACCGCGGGAAATCCTTAAGGGGGGGGGGGGATTTTTAAGTGGTTGAAGCAGGGCGCGCCAGCCATTGCGCTGTGATCATTTCCTG